CTCCCCCACTCCCCCACTCACCACTACGCTCGCCTTACTTCAGAAAACAATTAGCCGCAGCACAAAGCACAGCCTCTTCCTGCTTTCCCCCTCTCCGTCCCATCTCGACTAGTCTCTGGTCTCAATACACTCTCTTATCTCGCAGACCCTGAAGGACTCCTGCCTTTTCACCGATAAGCGTCACTCTGTCGCTTTCCTTCTACTTTGGATATGCTTGACGCGTGTCTGTGTTTCATTGCTCTCTTCTTTTCGCTTTTGCTGGCTTCGTTGTCAGAATTGCGCGAGAGGATTTTCGTTTGTCGCCATCAACAAGGATATTCGAATTTATCCAGAGATTTCCTCTGAGCATGGATACGGCTGAAGTTACATGGGTTTACTTTCGTATGCGGAGATATTCTATCTGAGATCAAAGCTCACACCCGATCGTGCGCCGAGAACGCTTTCGCGAGGTTAACGCGGGCTCTTTAACGTCGATTCCTCGAATCGAGCGTGATTCGCAACAAATTCCAGGCCGTCGGGACGCACGCGAACGGTCGCGGTAATTTTCACTGAAAAAAAAAAAAAAAAAAAAAAAAAAGAGAGAAGGAAGGGCAAGCAACTTAAACGAATACTGTGAAAGGTCCATTTTGTTCAGGGGTAATTGCAACACGCCCGAATACCCCTGCTGGTTATAAATATAAAATCCACAGCACGTCATGTGGATTTCTGAGAATAGCAACAAGAATTGCCTCGACACGGGATTTAATGGCTGCGTCTCCCTCTGATTTTTTATATCAGGCACTTTTATTATTTTCTACCTGCCTGAATAAATAATCCTTAACGTGACCTAGTATTCCGACAACGTTACTTCTACTGTACATTGCGAGAGGGTACTGTTTCTTCGGCAGGACGAAACCATTTTCTCCGAGATATAAATCGGGGAAATCGACAAGAGGCAGGGAGATGGAGGAAAAAAGATATTATCGAAAGAAAATGAAAACAACAAGTTTCCAGCAAATCAATATCGGACAGAGGATTATATAGCGGAAGGTGCTATCGAGTTTTCATAGGACGTGCGTGAGTCTGGGTGCCAGAGTGTAAATCCCTTACGATCGACTGTCAATTATTTACGATTCCTGTCAATTCTGGCCAATCGAAATGAAGCCACGTCGAGAATAGGCTTTAAAGCGCCGTGCGTCGCGTGTCGATGCGACGTCAAGCGTCCTCGCGCACGCGTTCGTTTGTACCGTATTTAGAAATTAGAGAAACACCTTTTATCTCACGCATTGACGATATTAATAGAACGAAAAACGATCCGATAACCGTACCAAGACAATTCCCTAAGAATTACAAAATATTTGGAGAAACGTAATTTGTCGAAAAATGCGCCGTTCCCGGACAACTGTTGAACCCGCGAACTTTGAATGTTCCGGGGAGAGCACCCTTACGCTTCTCCGAGATTTCCTTCGAGTCCGCCACGACGAACCAAGGGATTCCGAATTCGCCGATAACAGCAGGGAACGAGGGAGCTTTTCGCCGGAGAAAGAAAGCAGATGGAGAGTACGAACGTGGAGAAAGGAACAGCGTGGCTCGCGTGACGACAGCTTTGATCGAGAGTCTCGAAGGGGGAGGGGGTTGGACGGGGTAATTCTTCGGCGAGTTTTCGACTATTTCAAGAACCACCCTCATTAACATAATTCCAAACTCCAAGTATCCCAACGATCCGATCTACCCTGCTGGCCAGGACACCCGCGAGCAGTCTGGAAAAAAAATCTCCTTTTTGATCGTAAATTTCCGTTTATCGTGGCAATTTCTCAGCTCTTGGCACAGATTACGGATTTCTTTGCTGCGCAACTTTCGAGGGATACGCCTTAATAAAGTCGCCGGAATTGCGTGTTCGGTTGGTTATTCTCTCGATTAAAACGGTCTTCGGGACTAAGAGATTCCGTGGCGCGTAGGTCGTACAACAATAGGAGTAGAGTGGCACGGACGAGTATGATGAATCGATAGGGAAATAGCTCAAATGAGCCACGTGAACTTTAGTGACAGAACGTTTGCCGTTGAACGTTGAATCATAAATTGTTTGATCGACGGATCGTTGTGTTAAGAAAATCACTGATCGATCGGGGTTCGGCTTTCTACTTTTTATTTCAATCTCGCATAATAGACTTCCCTCTATGCATGCATTGTTACGTCACGGAAGCCTTCCAGACAGCCGTTAATAGCTCCGCGACAAGTAAGCACCGAGGAACACTTTAGTTTTCGAAACGTCCTTCGACGCGGTAAGAAAAAGAAAAAAGAAAAAAGAAAAAGAGGGGCCAACTCTTTCGACGAGGAATTCTCCAAGAAATTAGTAAAGAGGCGCCTTAACGACTGTTCTCGTTCTTCTTGAAATGGTCCAGGGACCAATAGGAGGGCGCGACGCTCCAGTGACTTTTTCTTGCCGGCAATTAGGACGACAGTCGTCTCAGCTAAATGCGTAACGTAAAAGGCGGAGCAGCAGCAACAGGAGCAACAGGAGCAACAGCAGCAACGCCAGCCTACACTTCCACCTACGATTAGCGCGATGCTTTGAAAATTACGAGGGACCACCCGTCGTGCCGCCGTTTGTATTCTCCATTTCCAGCGAGAGTATTTTAATGAAACGAAGAGGCGCGCGCGGCAGGCAGGAGACATCGAATCTACAAAGTGGACTCACCAGCCACGTTGATCGAAACTTTCTGATCTCTTCAAGTAGCACCAACCGGCAAGAGGATCAGGACCACGTCACAGGACTCTTCCTCCTGCAGAAGATTCTCTTGCTAAAAGTCTCACTGTCACTGAATGTCTGTCACAGGTCGAGCGCAGAATCACGTAAATTCGATCGACACGTTATTCGGATGTCCTGGAGATGACTTTTGCTTCTCCCGCGAAAGACTTTAGAATCACCAGCTGCTTCGACCGGATGAAAAAGTGTGAAATCGGTTACCGGGATGGATAAAAATAAGAGAACTTAATTATTGACTCCTGTCATTTGGATCCTGTGGATCCTCTGGATCCTCTCCGAGTAACCGCGGAGAGACTCTTTTCCCAGATGACGACGATGACTCTTGCCCAGCCACTCCTGGACGACAGTGTCTATCGTCCTCCGAAGCACTTGGCCGTCACGTGGTGAAGATTCGATAAAGATTCTTTCCGAGCTTTTCCGCACGCTTCCCCCTCGTGCGGTTCTCGACGCCGCACGCGGCGCACACGCGACTCCACGTGTCCACGCGATTAACGCATCGCGCAACGAGACCAGACGAGACAACGGATCCCCAAGACAATCAAATATATTTTGGCTCGACTGTTCGTATCCTCGACTCCTCCCGACTTCCAAAAGTCTCTCTCGCTCTCTCTCTCGCTCTCTCTCGCTCCGTTGGCTCCTTGACCGTCGAATCGCAATTTCCAACTGGAGGTGGAACAAGAGTTCTATTCGTCGGGTCCAAGAAGTTAATTTGCCAATTTATTCGAGGAAACGGAGGCTCGTGCCGTCGGTTTATACATGGGAAAGTGGGAATTGGTTTTACATGGTTTCTGCGATGGACTCGTGTAGTCGGTCAGCCGATTTTCCTCCTTGGGTCACAAGGGACACGTTCGTTCGCCAACTGTTCGGCAAACGCACTGAACGTCGAGGAACCCGTTGGCGGGTGACGTCGGTTTGGGCTCCGATTCACCGATGGGCATGCGCGACGTCATGCGCCTCTCGGAGAGGACTCTCCTGGCTTGGCTCTCCTACTCGAAGGTAGGAGAGGATCCTGAGGCTCCCAAGGATCAGGATCTCCCCCGTCGCTCTGGATGAAGACTCGTTTAGCTCACTAAGATCCTTTAACAGCAGATCCTTCGTAGGGCAAAATGGCAAAATGGCTAAATGGCTAAATGGGAAAATGGGAAAATGGCAGAATGGTACAAGGGTGGAACGGCAGGAACATATCGAATGCAACTAAAGTATAACGGGAAATGGTCCAGCGTCGTAAACGTAAAGACGATTGAAAGAGATTGAGAAGTCAATATGGGAAGAAATGCTCGTTCAACGTTATACCCGAGTATCTTCGAGTCTCCCTGGTGACTTAAGAGGGTTACTCGTCATCAGAGGGATGCCCACTGGTTTCATCCCTCCGAATGTACTGACCGACGAGGGAGGGGGGTGGTGGCTTAATCGAAATCAAGATATCCGGGAAAATAAAATAAGACTCCCATTTGATGTCCGATCTGACAATCGGCTGTCGAGATGACAGTTTGGCCTCTTCTTGGCGGCCATTCGACAAATGGACGCGTCGCCATCAAAGACGGACGTGCGGGAGCGTCTTTGGCAAATATACGCGTTTACGTTAAACGGTGAAATTTATCCCCGGACCGGCGACCCGAAGGTCCGTTTACCAGCTCAGATGCTTGTGCCCGAGCGACCGGGTCGCGCACAGACCGATCGGCGCTACCCTGTGCTCCGTTCTCCTGCAGGTCGTGCAGGAGCGACTGCGTGGCGAATCCTGAGATTCCCTGAGCGCGAAACAGGAGGCGGAAGTCAGCCGAGTTAACGATCGGCTGATTAGGCGGCAGGTGTCACGAGATGCCAACTTGGCAAGTTTTCCTTAACCGCGACTCCCGGCGCCTACGTTCTTCGCGAATTACGATCCTGCAGTTTCACCCGGTGCATTCTCCTGCTGCAGTTAACTGCACCTTGTCGGGCGTCCATTGCGCCGCGTCACGTTTATTTTATTTCCCTTCCCACGTACCGTTCACTGCCGTGTCCTGCCCTTCCAAACATTTTTCCACGATTTCTTCGATAAATTCGATCAGAGGGTTCAAATCTCCTTCGACGTCACCGATCAGCATCGAACAACGAATCTCATGAGTTTCCTAGAACGAGTCCAACTGATTCGCCAGAAGTCGATTCTTATTTATTCTTAACTTTGTTCTGAGCAAACGTCACAGTTTTGTAGGAGGGAAAGAAAAAATGAAGTACACCGATGTAACAAGAAATAGCATGACAATGGGAAGAAAACTTGCTAGTCTCTCATTAAACAATCAGGGGAATAGCAGTAGCCTGGAGTACCGGTAGGATCAAGATTTGCCGTTTGAAAGTCAAGTAAAATGAAATCGAGTGCATTCTGCTGTAATAAAAGGAAATCGACTGAGACGTTTATACGAAGATCATTCCAAGAGTGAAAACCGCGAAAAATCTGCTCGAACGATGCAAAATTTAGCTATAATAAGTATTTCAGGGTGCAGCCGCTCTCTAGTAGGTATAAAAGTAGGAAAAGGGAGGGAGAGAGAGAGAGAGAGAGAGAGAGAGAGAGAGAGAGAGAGAAAGGACAAAGAACAGGCGCACGAGAGACCGACTCGTAATGGGATTGCGAATAACATGGTAAAAGGGGTAAAAGCCCCTTATGCCGAGGGAGCTCCCTGGGTGTGTCGACGACACGGCATCCATCTTTATTCCAGGCTCCGTATTAATTTCGCGATTATTAATCGCGAAGACATTATTAACGCGAGAACCACGGAGTTTTAGACTGGGGGACGGATTAAAATGCTCCTGGAATTCCGGGCGTACGTTTCTCAAAGAAGAGTCCGCGTTAACGCCCTGAATGCTGTAATAATGAGCGAGAGTTAATCACCCTCTAAACTTCCAGCCCAGTCCTTTCCTCCTGCCCCCTTTCCCTCTCCCGCTTCCTACCGGAAGCACAATAGAATTCCCTGTCCCTCAACTATGTCTCCGATACTCTCTTCCTGTTCCTTCATTTTCCCTGCTGCCTTCGCGGATTCCCTCGACGACTTTCAATTATTGCCGTTTGCCAGTGAAAATATCGAGTCTCGATCGAATCGCTGCCTGCGGAATCGCCCTCGATATCACCCCCGCCCCTCTTTAATTAGCCGCGGCACAATTATTTACAAGTTCTAGGTCTTTACGTGAAAAGACTGCTTTCAACGAAAACTCCGACTACTGGGGTCCCCGACAACCCCTGTTAATTGTACCTTCCCAGTAGTTCAGTCCGAGACAGCAGCAGCGACCTCTTCGTCAGGAGACAAGGTGCAAGCTCAGTAGGCCCAGAGTAAAACGGGCTAAGCTGCTCAAGTTTAATGGAAACATGACGAAGAGGAGTGGCGGGGAGTGGCAGAGGGGGAACTCAGGGAACTCAGGGAAGACCGCGAAGGAAAATATCGTATCGACGAAAGCGCGATCTGCCACCTTCTCTTATCTTCGTCTCAGCCCCTTGGGAATAGGGCAGTAGGGGGGTATTTTTCAAAGGCATTTTTTTTCAGGACGCAGATATTCGAGTAATGCCGCTCGTAATTGCGTCTCGCCCGGAGAAAGAACGAAGGAAGGCGCAATTTATAAACTGGGGCAAGCACTACCAAATATCCGTGTGTTTGTGCAAGGTATACATTTTTAGCAGCAGCCATCCAGCCGCCCACTCGTCCTCGACCCTAGAGGCACCCCTAGGTGCCCCGTCGGTCGCGCGACGAGTGTTGGTATTTTGCGGGAGATTAAAGCGAATTTACACTCGACCTGGGACAGCAGCCCCGAAGCGAACAACTCTGGAAAAATAAAGATTAACGGCCCCCGACAGTGTAGCCCGGTCCGCATGATTTAGTGTGCAGTGGATCTGCAATTGATCATCCGGAACAAGTACGGACACAGGAGGACGGTGAATCAGACTGTCCCGTACCGAGGACATGCTTTAAAGCTGCATTCCCAAAATCTAACACAGGTTGGCTTAGATCTATGATCCGGCGCATCGTTGATGCTCCCTCTATACAAATGGCAATAACTTCGTCGTTCAAGTAACGCGTGAGCCAACGTATACAACATATAGGGAAATCCTTAAAATCTCGAGAAAGAATCCTCTATTGAATCTGCTGCGTCCCGGAACAAGGAAGCGGTGCCAACGTGCCGAAGCCCACGGGGACGATCGATAATTCAGAGTCCTTCGAGCCCCAGAGATCCACCCCGTATACCGCCACTTTCTGAATCAATCGAATAACTCGGGCGAGTATCGCGACAAGGACTCCTTGTGCTCCTTGGGCTCCTTGGGCTCCTTGGGCTCCTTGGCGGCTCCGGCTCGCGCGCAAGCGGCAGGATGACGTAGATATGACTTTAGAGATGCTGACACGCACTCTTAAATCCTGCGTCTAATGGGAAATTGAGCGAGACTCGTCTGGCCCTATGCAAATAGTCACGAGGAGGAGCACAAAAGGTCCTGCTGCTGCAAGGAAAGTCCTTACGAAGAAAGCGAGAATAGTCCTTGGAATTATCTCTTTCTCTTTTCTTCCCCCTAATGGCTCCGCAGCCGATCGACAATTCTTCGAGGGTTCGCACGTGAAACTGGCCAACTTTTAAGGCGATGAATGTACACTCTCGCCAACACGCCCGTGCACCCCAACGTGGCAACGCTTGACAACGGGAGGGGAAAGATGAAAAATCAACCAGTCAAAGCAACCCCCATACTCTCGAGAGGATGATCCAGTAAAGTCTCTGGATTCTGGTTGGGTTTCTGTAAATTCCGGAATTTCTTCTGGATTCCTTGACGCCTGGGAAAAGTGCTGTCCTCTTCGTCCTGCGATTGTCCTGCGATTGTCCTGCGATTGTCCTGCGATTGTCCTGCGATTGCTCCTGTTGCATTCTAATGCAGGAAACCGTCGTTCCCGATGCGCCAACGAATTTTGGGGAATCGAACGTTCGCCCAGCTTCTGGAAATGCGAGATTTTACGGTAGTGCTGACGCCGCGTAAACGTTTGACGAGACCGCGAGCAACCGGGACGGATCCTTAGGGGCGATTCTCATACAAGCGGCAACCGGATAACACAAAATACGTCGACGTGCAAGTTCTCACGTAGAGACTTGGCATTTCGTGAAATAAGGGAAAATGTGTAGATTCGGAATTGTAAAAAGAAGCAAAGGAACACCAACGAACAAACCAACCTACAATTAACGTTAACTGGGCATATCTCTATGAAGTGGGAATTACGTCGTGTCTCTGCTAAGCACGACTTGTATTACTGTAATGCCAAGAGGCCGGGATAAGCCGTTGCAGTTGCAGATGCAGTTTTGCTTCGGCTTGCAGATTTGCGTCGCTGCAACGGAGTAGTAATTAAACGTTCCTCAAATTCCTTGACGCGCCAGCGTCTTGGGAATTTAGTCGCTCGGGAGTCTCGAGGACTTTGCGATTGACGCCGTCATTCACTTTTCGCGTAAGCAATTCCACCACGCAAAGGCGCTGCGCAAACATATAGAAAGAAAAGAAATTTCAAGAATCAAACAAAATTGTTACACTGTGTCCAGCTGGATATTGGGCGAGCGCTCGAAATTGCATCAGGGCCGCAGAGGAAGAAGAAGAAACAGAGCCCCGTTCCACCCTCGTGGTCTCCATTGACAGCCCCGAGCTTTACCCCGAGTACACGCAGGGTTAAAATTGACGTACCGCTAAAAACAGGTAAACAAAAAACACGAGCCCAATTCAGAAAAACGTAATATTCTACCGATGGCTTCCATTCTGGAATTCTCGAAATTACATTGAAAGTAAAGAGAGAAAAAAAGGAGAAAGACAAACAGCTCAGTCGAGTATAGAAGTAAGGGAGCGGGGACGGGG